TAGTGTGAAGCTACTTCCACTTCTAAAATCATTATTTACAAATAAAGGGAAGTTTGAACTGATCTATCTTTGCCTCAAAGGAGAAACTGACTGAACGACTGAATTAATACCATACCAATGCAGAACCATAATATCTTAAGCTAGAACCATGTTATTCGGCCTTTTTTTACAATGTTTCTAATCACAAATAAAGAATTTTTCAAAGTAATTAACTTGAAATAAAAAATAAGAATTGCACAGGTAGAAAGAGTTTTTCGGTAAAAAGTTCGCCATTTTCCGGTACACAACTGTAATACTTTCTTTTACGAAGTAAGTTCGAGAAATTAAAAAGTACGAATTTGCACGTTTGATGCAACCCGCAATACATCTTGACGTTGCGGATTACGAGGAAATCCCATTACCCTCTCCCGGGGAGGGTTGATTAAGATTCTGAAGGGCCGGGAGATGCAGTGCAAAAAAGGAAAGGCTTCGTGGCTTCGGTGGTGTAATGGTTAGTGGTTCGATAGTGTAATGGTTTAAGACCGTTGTACCCAAATTCGCGGATTCAAACCCCATAGAAATCGTGGATTTTTAGGGCGAAAAAATCCTTCTTACGCCTTCTTTCGAAGGGGATGGTAAGCCGGCTATCTCACGTGGTAGATTTACTGCACGTAAAAGTTTCTTAAGCCTAAAATAATCCTCTGAGGTAAATTCAAATCGCCTGTTTTGTCACCCAACTGATAACTTCTTTCTCCAATAGAGGGTGAAAGGAGCTTAGGGAAATTTGCGTTGCCAACAGAAGAGTAGACCTAATGACCTGAGTCTCTTCACGTAAAATAAGGCGCCATTGAATTGAATGGAGTTGGATAGGGGGGAACGGTGAAGGGCTGGGTGTGGCAGAATGGGAAGAACGGGCGAGATGGGGTTGGGAGGGCGTAGCTTAGCGACGATGGGAAAGAGGGGCGAGCTGAGGGTGGTGGGGATGAAAATAAAAATTCTTTCATGTTTCACAGCAGATAGAATTCGTTCCTTTCACTAATTGGTGATGTAAGGGGTACATAAACTCTCCAACACTCCGAAATACTTTTGCTAGTGATTAAATTATCATGACCCAATCTAATTATGAAAACGGAGCGATCGTTTTATTAAGATACTATAAGAGATTTCAAGATGCAAACGGCAGACTTAAAGAGCTTTCAAGACACAAATGATGCAATTTTTCCTTAATTCTTAACTCAAACTTAACATTTGTCAATGTATTCCAGAATGCGTAAATCAGACATTAGTCATCCAATAACTAAATATTGTACCCCTGTCACAGTTTCCGTGCAAAACGGTAAAGGACACTCCGCTATTGGGAGATATGTTGCCTTTTGCCAGCCAGCGAGACATCGTCCACGGACGCAATGGAGCACTATACTGGCGACATGGAGGAATAGTCATTCAGCCTCAACACTTCCCCGACACTCTGGATCATGTGAGTATTATACACACACTTTCTTTCTGTACTTTGTTGTTGTCTCTTTAAGATCGACATAGAGTATACCTACCTTCAAATTTACTACAACCTTTAAATGGATAAGGAATGTCCTATCCTGGCAATGTTAAAGGTTTGAGTCTAATTCTCAGAACCTATTAAAGAGGGGCTTGAAGTATTATAGGTTGCAGATATGACACTCATGATAACACTGAAACAACGGTTTTAAAAAGTGTTTAGTATTTTTGTGAAAGCAAAAATTCTCATAATGCTATTTGTTTTACCATATTTTATAGTAAATAAAGATCCGTAGGGTCGTCCGGATGGCCGAAATCATTACGGTAGTAGTGCTGAAAAGATCTCGGACTGAAGGACCGCAGGTTCGAGTCGCGTCTCGCGCATGGTTGTATTTGTGTTCGTCCTTTCACCCCCTCACCATCACTATAGCCCATCATACTGTTAACCCTCTATTGTGATCCCAAATGACCTAGCTATTGCTGATCTAAAATAAAAATTTTTAAAACGTTCTGTAGAATGGATAATACTAAGGTAATCAGGAAAAAATATTTCAGTATATATAGGAGATATTTATTCACAACTGATAATTTCAGTTTCCTACTACAAATTTAAGCTGAGAAAAGGTCAATTTAGTACAAAAAATATCAACTTTCGGGAAAAGAGCTTTAAAGATTCAACCCTCAGAATGCGCTAGCTCGAAAACTTGCCTCGTCAGAATAATCATATTTCAATGACTACTTTCTTTTGACACATTCTTTTTATGTTGGTTAGCTTTACAACAAAATTTTCAATTTACTTTCTGCCACTCTGAGTCTCAGTATTTATGCGCTGCATTATGTAACAGTACCTAGAAGTATTGGAGCCAGCACCTAAGCCCCATGAAAGAAGAACTTCTCATATAAATAATAAAAAAAAGTTGTAAGAATGGTGTAAACATATTTCAAACGCCAATTTAAGGAGAAAATTATGAGATGAGATTTATGAAAAATTAAATACTACTAAACAACTATTTTTTTTACCACAAAATCATTTCATTTTCCCAGTATAGTCTTTGTAGACATAAAAATGTAACAAACCTTTTGAAATGTTGCATTAGTGTATTTAATTCCTTTACCGTTTTGCCCTCAGAAGCATTGGTTTCCCGTGAAAGTGTTGTTTGTAACTTGTACAATTTCCTCGTAGCCTGAATCACAGCGAAATTTTGTGCGCGTTTCCCAGCCTCGACGCACGTTGTAGATTCGGAATGTCTTATCGTGATTAGCGAACAGCATGTGCATTATGATTCTGGTGACAGGTTAGCGAGGTCGGACGCGATCGAAATGTGGCGCAATAAAGGACTGTACCCACTACCGTCAAATCACAAATGCCCGCTTTTATGCGTTTGCATAAAAACTATATTTTTACTTTGATAATACTTGAATTTTATTCTCCTCAGGACTTCGACTCGCGAGTATACACACAACCATCTAGACATTATAAAAGACGTTAACATTAATTAAAAAGAAACATTACGTGTTAAAAATAGTTCTCTTTATTTCCACGATTAAAAAGGGTACTAATAATTTTTAGCTAATGTTGATCTTTCAGAAAGGTCGATTTTTTGCAGATTTACATAACATTTTAACCACGTTTAAAAGAAATTAACAATATTCGTACGATTCATTTGTTTCAGCACTTTCTGCCTACTTACACCCTGAAGCCTGGAGAAATATACACCCAAAATGTGTGGTATCGTTTCTTCTGTATGAGATCTTCTGACACAGATCTTCGTAAATTGATTCGTAGCGCAGATACTGATTTTGACGAGATGGAAGGAGAATCAATTACTGAAGCCACCGACTACAGAAAGTAATTTCAAGCGGAGTTTACATCCAACTCAGAATCACAATAGAAACAAATGTTATTTATTTTAAGTTTTACTCTATTTTGTACTATTTTACTAATAAAGTTAACATAAAAATGGACATTTTTGTTATAAACGACTAGTACAAATAGCCCGCGTACACCATTGGGAAAGATACGCTGTAGGTGCTGGTTTCCTTCAGGTACGGTGAATGAGCTATGTGCTAGTTCAACAGGTCAAAAGATTTCTGTAAGTCATTTTGCGAATTGATTATGTTATTCAGATAATTATTGCATATTTGCTGTCACGAATCGCCTTCTGAAATGTGTTCCTCAATACGCCATCCCATCAACTCATTCTATGCAATAAATCCAATGCCACTGGAATAAATTGAAGGTGATGGCGTGAAATAATGTGGTGGGTAATGAGTAGGGGCGGATTTTCATGAAATGCCATTTTTTCCTTTTTACTTTAAATAAATGCCGTTTAGTATAGACATTCATTTTGTGTTTTGACTAAATGAAATGACCCATTTTTATGGCATTTTTTTACATTTTGTCGTCGATTTCGAGTAATTTCATTTTTTACCTGTTTACGTTTTTTTACTGCATTTTGTTACGGAACTCATTGATTTTAATATTTTAATGGTACTTGCTTCAAACAATATTTAAGAAGTGCAGCAAATGTTCACCACAGCATTCATGAGTAGCCTATTCGATTTCTTCGCACATATATTGTAATCTCAGCTGTTGTGAGTACTATGTAATCTAAGGTTCCTGTGACGTTTATCGGTGCCTTTGTCAATTCGACCGATTTCACAATAAATAAAGGCAGATATTTTATTTTAAAGAACAGTACAAATCCAGAGTTTGAGGGATGCGTTCATTTGAACAAAACGAAGAAGCCTCGATTACATCAGTAACATATCCAACAGCTTGAGTTTTGCATCTGAAGTAGTTTCGATCAAACTTTTTACATTTTTCTTTGTTTTTAGGGCATTTTTAAAGCATTTTAGAAGAAGATTTTATTGATCATTTATGGCAATGTTTTAGATTATCAAAATCTGCCTCCAAGTAATAAGCAACGAGAGGCAACAGGTATAAAGGAAATAAAATAATCGAAAGCATGCTTCGAATCTGTATTGTGCAATCCGAAAAGAAACTGGAGTTCCCGAAAGTATAAATTCTTGCAATCAGAAAGATAGAGCGATAGTCGCTGTGGATATCTCTGCTGAGGGTCAGAGTGTGGTTATTACACAGTTTCATAATCTCTAATATAATTTTACGAATCAAGTATTTCTATTTCGTTGGACGGAGTAAGTTGTTAAGTTTCTGTGCTCTTGGCACACTTTCCCACGATTTCTAAACCTTAACTTGAATGATGATAATGTCATATCACTCCCCTTCTATATCTTCAGTAGTATTGCAGTGGGAACCGCGGTGATACAGAGGCTTATACAAACAGGGTTAATAAATTCTCGTAGACATATCGAAAGTATCAATCGTCCAAGACACTGAAGGCTTAAGCAATTTGATATCATAAAACTCGTACGTAATGATAATTCTAAGTAAGAAATTTCAATATAACGCATAGTTTACTTTTTATTATACTTAATGAGCAAATGTAGAGAAAAAGCAGTTTTTACTTTCTTAAAAAATCCCGCTAAAAATTCTCTTGATAATACTAAACAATCTTCACTTCTGAATATGTATGCAAATCTTTTAAATGTTGGATGTACCTCCCTTTCATATTGGTAAGACGTTTTTCCTTTGTATTTACTGCTCGAGACCGTAAATGTGTATGATGCTCCTCGAACAATAGTTCCTGTTGCTTGTCTAACTGCACCAAACACTTTTTCACTGAAAGTATCATAAACTATTTTTACTAAAAAATAAATCTCATTTACCATTAAAATTTTATGATAAGTGAAAGGTGTATCTATAGGAACGGCAACGCGAAGTTGATTGCTGTGAAGCATATCTTGAGGGTGCACCTCTGTCAAATGGCGCCATAAACTACGTCGCTCTCCTCTCCAGATACATTCATTATGAATGCACTTCACGTAGTTATAAATGCATTGATCTTCATGTTCTTCAATTGAATATGGGGGAAACAACTCTGCACAACCCAAATCTTTGTTTTTACACGAAACAAGAATAGCAGATATTACATCTTCTAATAGTAAACTTCGAGTTGCTATCATCTTAGAATGGCAAATAGGGCAGGTTTCTTTCCAAATGCAATAGGGACAAAATGAATGTCCTGAAATACATTGTAATAGAGGTGGAATCAGGTAGTTCACGCAGTCGTCGTTTTCACATTTCATCAAGTTGTAAACAAAATTTAAATCTTCTGATTCTCTCTTCAGCAATCGATATACCACTTCCACATCGTCAGCCATGTAAAAAATATATATCCTGAATAAAAAAGAACATTAAACAATATAATACTTTTGTTTGTAAAGTCTGACATTTCTCTATAATTGCATATCATTATGTGATTATTCAATATGGAATGTATTCCATGGCTTTGTATTAAATACGAAATAATACTTTATTTGACCAAGATTAACAATAAACTAAGACACAGTTCTAAATGAGCTAAGTAGTACAAACAGCTTCATACAGGCCTACGGAGCATCAAACAATTGAAATTTGCAATGTCGAAATGAGAAATTAGTTACTTTAATTTACTATCACTGAATTATGGCACAGTTTTAAAATAATCTGCTCCAAAGGAAAGCTTTGCCCGAAAAGCTCAAAAGGTCCCATCGTGTTTTAAGATGACTCGACTAACGACATGAACTATCAAAACGTTCGTATAAGACGTATTCGTATTTATTATTATTATTATTATTATTATTATTATTATTATTATTATTTTAATCGTTATTTACTACGATATGCAATATTTGTTCGTAAATGAAATTCGTATCTTTTTGGCTATTCTTAGTCATTAGCAAATTACGATTTAGTACATACTTATTACCTGCAGATAATCTATGAGAAAAATTGCCGATCACCATTTTCTCCGCCAAGTATGAATTTTAAACAATGATTAAATAAACGTGATCACTTCATAAACAACCAGACATTTATAACTACCTGTTGAAAATTAATATCTTTACTTTAACCTTAAAATTGCTGCGACTCTAGATTGCATCTAATGCCTCTTATTATTGCGGCATCGCACAATTCAATTGTTTTATTGGAAAAGTGATAAATACACGATAAATACACTCACAGCTAGACGGATGACTTGCATTGGCGGAGAGGGTACCCATAAAGAAGACATTTTATCACGACAAATGTAGTGATGTCAATGCGGGAAATGTGTATTAGTTATTGTGTAAACCAATTTTTCTTGACTGATGGATTGGAGAAATGTGGATAGTAGTTACGAATACTACGGTCACTAGATTTTATGAAGCAACGCTTCTCGAACAACAGTCACGCCTTCGCACATTTTTCAATAATTTGCGTTTTAATTTTCTCAGGAGTTTGAGGTATCTCAAATGGATCTTGACCTGCTTCGACCATTTCTTTATATTTTTTGGAGAAAACCCGAACAGGAGTTGTCAACAACACAAAACAGTTTTTATTACGCGCCAGTGGAGATGCGATTGAATGTAATCATCGGTGCTCGCTGCGAAAGTTTACCTTCAACTGTTTATTGTGCCAGGGAGAGGGAAGGTAGGCTGTTGGTCAAAAAAAGTTACGCATTTGTATACTAAAAAGTATTGGATTATTTTCTGCGTTCTTAGGTAAATCGAGAAAAGCAATTCTGATCCAAAAAATAATAAAACCAATATTTGACCTTTGAGTAATAAATACCATTTGTTACCGTTTTAAACCATTCAGTAGGCTTAGACTTCACTTCGGTACATGGGAATGTTGCTCAAACGATGTTTACATATTGAATATCTTAGCGAACCGACACCTTAAGTTGGTTGGATTGGTTGCGTGCGAGAGTCACAAAAGGTACAATGTATACTATTGAAATAATAAAAGACGATAGAAACAAGCAATTGTGTAAGAATTGATGAGAAAATATTCGCCCCCGAACCATACAATATCAGATAGGATATATCTCTACTCTATGCCCCGAACAAATCAACTACAGATTTTCTCTAATCTCTCATCATGCCCAATGCAAAGGAATCGGCTTGCTGACGCGAAAGAAGGATAACAATAATTTGAATAACTATTAGCCCATTCAAATTAGACAAATCGAGTGAAAAAATCCCGGATTTTTGAAATTTGGCATGATTGTTTATTGTACTAAACAAAAAATTCTGAAATGTGAAGGGTGAGCCGTGTGGGTATGGGTGTTTAAAAGTGTTTTTTCGGCATTTTTGCATGTCTCAACAACTATTAATTCTTCCGAAAATTATACTTTGTACAATATTTCCTACAAAAAAGTTTATAAGGTTTTGTCGTAATATTAACAATTTACCGTTACAGGCTTGAAATTTGTTTTTTTATTTACGGCAAGGGCCTTTTTAGACATCTCCGTTATAAAAATGTCATTATATGTTCACTTCACAAAAGAAATTTTATTTTTGTTGAACATTTTATTAACAATTTATATGTGCATATTTTGCGTAAAAGCTTTTTTTTCACGTTCAATATTTTGTGAAAACTTGAGAGCAATATCCAAGGATATTTGGTCCATGATTACTTGTAAATTAGAATAGGAGTAATTAATTATCTATTTGCTTTTGTTTGGGCCCGTTTGTACTCACTTATATAATAGGCTACTGGAATGCCGTGCGTGGTTACATAACTGTGTCGTTTTTAAAAATATTTAATAAAAGGCGACAGTAATAAATTTGTTTAGAGTAATAAATTGGCATTAAATGTGTATTAAATTATTCATTTGGTTTTACTTGACTGTGTCAGTTCATTCTATGGTCATATTTGAATATCTGACATGATTGGATAATTATGGTCCAGTTTTTAACAATATTTAATAAACTGCAACAGCAATAAATTTATCTCTTGGGTCTATTGAATGTGTGTGTAATTATCTATTCTGTGGTCGTTCGTATCTAATATAATACTTGAATGTCGTGCATCGTTGCATAACTATGCCGTTTTTAACAATTATTTAATGGCTACTTTCATATGGGGGTAATAAATTATTAATAAATGAATAATAAATATTTGTATTAGTTTGAATCGATTGTGCCCATTTTTAAAATTGGTTGTCAGTCACCCCAGCACCCCCACATTTATTTTATAAATGACAAGGGTAATAAATTTAATTTTGGAGTAATAAAGGAGTACTAAATATTCCGTTTCGTTTGATGTAATTGTGCTATAGCGATGGTGCCAGCTTGACCCCCCCTCCGCTGAGGCGGTACCCCATTGGGGGAGATACCTGGTAAAGGGAAAACCCAGCAAGTCGTCGGGTACGTCGGCGCCGATCTCACCATCCAGGGAAGGAAATCATCGCCACCTCCCATGATACAAACATGCTCTACACCTACAGGCCAAATAACTTGCAGTTGACGTGACCAGAATTACCAATCAATCCATCATGATGTACTGTAGATTGTAAAGGAGGAAAACAAAGCCACCAGGTGCAGATAGTGCAAAAAGCACTTCAATTTACAAATTAAAAAATACTATATTCACCTTCATTCAAACTGTTTTCAGTTGTCTCGTGTTAAGATGAACTGGTGTATCCTATTGTTCCAAAGTCGCACATATGCAATATTATGTTGCGCATTTACTATTAGTTTAAAACAATTATGTGTTTTTTATCCTTTATAGTGTAAGATTTGATTAAATACATATTACTATTTAAAAAATATTATTTCAATGCTTAGTTCTTAATGGGTTACATGTGAGTCCACATTTGATTATTTTCATAACCTTTAAATGTTTCAAGTGTGCACCTTTCTGATAGTATACAGAATGTTCAGAAAGGAAACATTGAAAATAAGCTCTTAAGCCTTAAGTTTATTTTGTCTAATAAACTCCTTGGATATTCTGAATGACTGAGCTGTAATAAGCACTCAAAAGTTGGTTTGAAACTTTCTACACACAAATTTGCATTGCAGAAACATAAATTGTTTAATCTTTACAAAAGAAATGAATATATTAGTTCAGAAAGAAAAAATAACACAGAATAAAAAAGCAGTTGAATTGTGTAAATTTGTTTCAAATTGTAAAATAGTCTTAAGAGCTTATTTTCAAAGTTTTGCCATTTCCTTCCTGGACACTATATCTTGAGAATTACTTTGTTTTATTTTACCAAATTTCCCAAAGATGTTGAAAGAAAAAGCTGCTTTTTGTTTGCTCTGACAGCCTTTTTATCTCTCGAGTAACACAGCAGTTTACCGTTTTTCTCATTTCTGGTAGAACGAGTTAGTATGAAATCTTGGGTCATAAACTTCAATGTTTTGAGTGTTCGTAAATGTTTATTGTATTCTGTGTAGATACACAAAAAAGTTCTTTGTATGAGAAATTCACAAGAAAAATCTGTCTTGAAATACACTGCTCTGCAGCCAATTCTTGCAATCTTACATTAACAGGTCAAAAAACAACACTGCAAACAATAGCTTCACCATAAACACACTGCCATTTACATGGCAAATAAAGGAACAACAAGAAATTTACTAGATGCAATACACATACATATAAAATATTTTACTTCTACTCATTGGTCCCCTTAATTCAATTCTCTATAATTATAATGTCATTACAACACTGATAATAATGTAGATTCAGATTTTCTCACAACACTGAACCTGTACATTTTTAAAGTTCACTCACATTTAACAATGGAAATATTTACTACAAAAAGTGGATTTAATGTGCATGTTTGTAATAACACTAAAACTGACAATAAA